GGGTGTGGGGTGTGGGGTGTGGGGGTGTGGGGGTGTGGGGGTGTGGGGGTTGGGGGTGTGGGTGGGTGGGTGGGTGGGTGGGTGGGTGGGTGGGTGGGTGGGCGGTCGGGCGGGTGCGGGCGTGCGCGTGCGTGCGCGTGCGTGCGAGAGCCTCTGCGCACGCTTGACCGAATCGATGCTCTCACTCAGCTGCCGCCATTGGCCACCGGACTCCTGGACGGGTGTGTTTACGTCTTCCAGGCGCAATCGGGCCCGCGTGTGTGCTCTCTTTTTTCTGAGTCCCGATTCCTATCGTTTTGGCAATGCGGCCCAGCAAATTGCACCCGACTGCCAGGTTCGTGTGGGCAATGGGAAGACATGGTCTGAATGGTCTCACACCTCCAGCCCTTTCCTGTTCCAGGCCTGCCACAACAGCACTATATATAGTCTCTAGTATCTCGCTTGGTTGCGGTCAACTGACGTCCAGGTGCCACCTCCTATCCCGCCGACAGCGGCGTCACTGAAAGCTCAGAAGACAGTTACAGTGGAGGCACGATCGGACATCGTCGCCCAGAGTGCCCTGCTCCAGCATCAACCTTCGTCGAATTAGGTGATGTCAGCTACAGCAGCTCGAGTGTCACTTGGACTTCTGAGTTGGTGGTGATAGGGAAAGGGCCCGGCGACCGGTCTGTGAGCTCTGCGGGCTCAGGGTCTGGGGCGACTTCAAGCCAGCACCCGGGCTGACTTTGCTCGAATACGAGGCGAGCCCTCACAGACAGAGGTGCAGTGGTGCATCTTGCAAGTGTGAAGGTCCGGGCCACGCCGAGGCAGGAGGGGAACCCCCGAGCGAAGGCAGCTCCGCTCGGTTTTTCTTAGTCTTGGAGCGCTTTTTTGGTCCCCGCCTGTTGGAGCGCCTCTCGGCGCGAATCGACGAGGCTTTCCCGAGCCAAGCTGTGACCTTCCAGCACCGCTACCGGGGTGGCCGGTGCCCTGGCGGCTGACAGTGGCTGCGACCTCTGCCTTTTTTCTCGAGCGAGAGGCTTCATCCAACACGAGCTCTTGAACCTCCTGCCCTTCACCAGCTACACCTTCTCCGTGCAGGACAGAGACAGCGACTGAGAGAACTGCTTTAGCCTCGCGGCTCAGCTGCGGGAGGCCCGCTATCCGAAGGTGGGCATGCGCCTTTGGTCTTGGCCCCCATGGCATGCAGAGAGAGACCTGAGCTACCTGAGCGCTCCAAACAAAGAGGCTTTTGTTGTCGTTTGGTGAGGTCGGGACAGCAGGTCACGGAGCCCGTGGTCCTCGAGCCGGCCGTCGCCTACCAGGCTTGGCCGGTTGGGGCCGGGGGGATTCCAGACGGCCCGATTCCACACCAGGATCCCCCCACACCGCTGCCCGTGCCGGACACCAGCGCTGCCACGGACGAGGAGAGCCCAAGCCAAGCCGGCCCCCATCCCTTGCTTGGACTGGTTTGCCGTTTGCCAGGAGGACTCGGTTTGCTGCCAGGGCCTGCAGACAGCGACACGGGCACACTGCTGCCGTTGCGGAGCCTTCCTCGTTCCTTCGAGGTGAGGCCATCATCGAGTTTCCTGCAGAGGAGGACGCGGAAGCTTTGGGAGGGAAGGAGACGCTCGTCGCGTCTTCCGTCAGGAGGAGGGGGTGCAGTACGACTTGGAGTATGCTTTCGTCTTGGGCGACGACTTGGACACGGCAGAGATGCGGGTCGCGAACACTTTGTGGCGCTCCCCGAGAGAGGTCCCGCTGCGTGCAGCTTCGCATGATGCATGGTCGCTCTCTCCTTCTGCTTATTCGCTTCTGCTTGCCGTAATTGCATGTAGTTTTTTTTTTTTTTTCCGCACGTTCTTCGCTCGCCTGCGAGACTCGTTGGTCACACTCTCCGCTCGAGGTGACAATGCTGGGCTCCCACGGCGTCACGCCGCACTATCGCCCGAGACCTCAGTGAAACGTGGTACACAAAAGTTACAAAAAAGAGTCACATATGTACGTACTGTATGTGTATCTATATATCCGCCGACCCCCTCGGGCGGCG